CAAAACGTAAATTTGGAAAAAAAAATTACAATTTTTCCTATACGATTCGGAAATACCTTGTAAACACAGTTATAATTGTCACGGAGCAAAACATCCCTCCGTATTTTGTAGGCAGACAGAACAGCTGTTTCGCCGGGCAATATTTCACAGGCCACATGTGTCTAGACTCTCACAACACATACATTTCACTCCACTCTTCGAGTAAGCACACGAGATAAATTCATTTGGAAATGGACCGTGAAGTTTGTGTGTATGTCTGTGCGAGTCTTCACTTATACACAGACTCATTCAAATATATTTACTGGCAAGTGTTTATTTTCGGTACGAATGTGACATAACGTTGTATGTATATGCAATGCTAACAAGTTTAAGTCCTGCGTAAATGATGAGCGTCAACAAGATGGACTAGAAGAAGTTAAAATATCATAGGAAAATAGCGTTTAAGACGTGATAAAATTGCCTATTTTAATATGAGCTGGGACAAAATGAATATTCATGTACCGATGCCATCGAACACAAAGTGGAATATTTAAAAAGCAGAGGTTTAATTGATAGAAGTTATAGCACCAATGCTGTAGTCTTCGGTTTTCTTTTTCATTCAAACGTTCCTCATTTTTACCTGAAGGAAACATTAGTTTTTAAACATTGCATTATTAATATTATTTCTCTTTCTAACGCATTCTTTTTCTAGACCTCTCAGTTGCAGTATCCTTATTGTTAATTTGTTTTCTGTTGCCAACACAACTGTGAAATTTAAACACACTATTGTTCATTGATCAGACTCACCTTTAGTGGCAGGATAAACATTTTGTACAACAAAGTACAGCTAACAAATTTCACAATTAGAATTAAACTGTTACTAATCTATTTTGAAATAATTAAATATACAGACGGAAAATAAAACTGCAACACTTACGTGTTTCACGAAAGATTAAACGCAAATATAATACAAGAGGATTACAGTAAATGATTACATATACAGTTTAATAAGTTTTTTAAAAAAATCATTTCACCCTAAACAAGCCACTAAAACTGAAGGGCTTACTGAGTGTGAAAAAATAAGAAAAAGAGAAACATTATTAAGGAGTGGTAACAGAGGAGAAATCAGTAAAACAGTAAATGACAACTGATATTGCATTTAAATTTTTGAAGATCAAAGTTGGTTGGAAAGCATGGAATCAGAAGTGAGTTCCACAAGCGAGAAGTGCGTGAGAAGAAACTGTTAACATAGAACGTACGGTTGGATCTAGCCAATTCAATTGTTGCCAATTTAGTACAGCGCTTAAAATCATAGTCTAGGTACTAAATTCCAGAATAAAGAATTTATTAACAGTACAAAATATTAATAAAATATATATTCTACTTTGGGCATCAGCACAGGCCTGTAATCACGAATGCATACAATCGTACAGATGTTGAATACTACCCCGCAATACATTATACTCTGTCCTTTGCACGTGGTGACGTAGTACAAGAATTGGAGGTGCGCTAACTAAACGAGTCTTTGCAGAGCATGTTGAATAGCATGGGCATCATGTGGGCGGGTATTATTCTGCTGGAATAATACGTCGCCTTCTTGTTGCCATATAGCTATATATAGCACTATTCAACGTTCCTTTCACAAATACCAAAGGCGAACGATAATTCTAACATTTATCTCATACAACGATGCCAATGGCTGTGCCTGTGTGATCCCCAGATCTATGTCGTACACACAAACTACCATGAAGACAGAATCTGCTCTCATCACAGAAGACAACAGATAGTCACCTGGGGGAGTGATCAAGAGATCACTGCTGATGTGTACGGCGGTGATGCGGCTGAAGTGCAAAACTGGCTGAAAGCTTCAAGCAAACGATTTCTAACGGTTTATATTAACGTTCCTGGGGCTACATTTGTTCTGATCTCTGTTGTGGACGCCATACGGCCTGCTACTGCTATCGTTACAATGAGTTGATATTAGCGAGTAACTGTATCTCATGACTGCCTAGAGGTATACAAATGTTCATTTTAACACTGTTACCAGCATTGACCAACCATCAAAGCTTCACCTCTAATATGGACATATATTATCCCTCTAGCTTCCCGGAAGCTCCCAATTCCAACGCAGTCGAACAGAATTAATAATAATGATAACTAGAACTTATCAAGCAAACATTATGAAAAAAAAGTGTTAACCCCAAATGTAGATTATGGGATGAATATCCAGAAACAATTGGGCATTTCTATAAGGTTGCATGGTATTAGCAAACATCGAATATAAAACCCGGCCTGTTTGGGTAGGCCAATAAATGCATTGGAAAATTTGCAACTTTTATGGAAAAGAGATGAAAATTTGGTATGGACACCACACTGACCAGGTTACAGATATAAGACCTGTAAGAATTTTATGGGATTTTGTTGCAATACACAGGGACAGAACAAATAAAGCTAATTGCCCAGACACAGTGTTTGATAACAAAATAGAATGTGTTTTCTTATTGATATTGCAATTCCTGCAGACTAACGTTGCGTTGAAGTTTTTTTTTAAAAAAAAAACTATTAAAACAAATTAAAAAAAGTAGCACACGAAGATACCAATAAATCCAGTTGCGTTTGGGTTCCTGAATTTCAGTGGGAATAAGTTCTGAGAGAGTCATTGAAGAGATTCATGTCAGCCCATACAATTAAAGAAATGCAAGAAATTGTTATACCAGGTAGAACTTACACTTTACGTAGGGCTTTTTCTATGTAAAATGTGTGTTTTAGGTGGTTTATATATATATATATATATATATATATATATGTGTGTGTGTGTGTGTGTGGAGGAAAATCCCATGAGGCTATTTCTGACCATAGGTCTTTGCTTGGGACCAAAAGTAAATGAGTCTCCAACAGAAATGAAAGGAAATAATAAATACTACTACTACTAATAATAATAATAGCACGTGTGCCTTTTCGTGGCAAGACACCGACTTGTACTGGAATATTTCACTACACTAACCCTTACCGCAGTATATGTCACATTCTAATGTTCAAACACAAATATTGAACTGGTCACACGTTGGTTATAGAGTGAAAATGTTAGAATATCGTTATGCACTAAATGAACCGAAGTTAAAATCACTATCGTCCTTCAGGGCGTTGAAATTTTATTTTCAATCAGTATAGTGTATAAAACATGGGAAATGAAAGACAAAAAAAACAAAAACAAACATGAAATCCTTGTGTAAAGATAATATTCTACTTTTAGGACGTTCCCTTTTCTGAAATAACAGATTTTGGAAATAGCTTTTTTAAGATTTATAGAGATTTACAATATTCCAAAAATTGTCTTAAGTCGAGCCGTGATACTTATTGCTACCGGATAGACTTTCTTCCATTTCAACAGAATTATTAATAGATACGTGAGTGGAAAGGTAACATGCGACAATGGAATCAGTGTCTTTTGTGGGAGTGTAGGAAGCATTGCATTACATTTAATACAGTGTCTACAGATACGTGCGAACATGAATAATATTGATGGAGAAAATACGGAATTCAGTTAATACTGAATATTGCTAAATGTTTAATATCGAAAAAAATAAAATATATCTTCTGAATATTATGCAATATACAAAAGAGGAATAAAAATATTTTCGGCGCAAAATAGATAGGTGCCTATTTATTTTTATTTCTTGAAATCTGTATTTCCCAATGGATTTTTCTTAAACCTTCATCCCCGTATTCAGTAAGGAACAAATAAATACAGATGAAATTGCACACACACACACACACATGTTTAATGCGCGGGCAAACCTTAGGTGGTTGCTGCAGTAGGGTTGAAGATCTCTAGCACAAAAAGCTATTATTTTTATGCCAGTACAGCTGTTATCCAATATTATGTTGACGGTGACAGCAGGAAAGTGTCGTTATCATTAACTACCATAGCCACTAAAGCCTTACGATGGAAAATGGCGAAGATGAGAACTGGAAGGGGACTAAAAATGGCGGCGGTGGTAGTGGATGGAAAAGCTGTACGTACAGCAGAAGTGCGCATGCGCTGCTGATACCGGTCGGGGAAGGTTTCCCCTCCTTTTTAAGAACACAGTCCACTTGTATAAGAAGAGATGGTGCGTGCGCGCGTGAGAGAAGGAGGGAAAACAAGGGCACGCTAAATGCAAGTATCATATTGCAAACAGTATTGATCGTTTGTCAGCCCACCTCAGATGAACGTTTCCTTTCTTACTCGTAATGTTGGCTTGCCATTATCACCACAGGTAAACGCACAGATAACAGAATGAGAGACCCATCATGTATACAAGTATACACACACTGTCTTATTGGTGCACATACATTTTTTCAGTGACTGCCAGGTGCAAATGAGTGCACATAATCAAAGTCCGTTCGTATGTTTTTTGTTTGAGAGAACGAGAATATAAGCATCAGTTATAAAATAGTTATAAATATATATAACTTTAATAACCCTCTATTAGTCCTATGGGGCATTCTCGGAGTATGAGTACTGTGGTGTTTTCAAACACCCTATTTAAAATATAATTTACTTCTATATTTCTTGTTATTGTTTGGAGTGTTTTTTTGTCTGGATTTATTGGGTGAATAATAATAAAGGTTTTATTTTGAAAAATCTAATTAAAAGGCCAATATAAAAGAAATGAAGTTCTAACTTTCAAAAATCCAAATATACGAAATAGGTTACATTTTATTTTCAATATAATCTTTTAAAACAATTTATAATCAGTCTTATTCCTTTTAAACTTTTTTTACATTACAAACAATGAACAAGCAAGTTATTGTTATTTTTACATATGTTTTTACGACAATTGTTACAGTTTTTACATTACGTTTATGTGTTTGTACTTCACACAAATATTATCACTAAAATCAGAAACTCCCTGTAGTTACTCAACTTGGTTAAGCAAGAAAATCTGACATGACAATTGATAAATATTGAGAAACAACATTTTGCGGGGTGTTAAAGCTCCATTAATATCGCCAGGTATGTTAAGATGAATTTACGTCCAAATTATGCTGAAATATCGGTTCCCGTAAGATCACTGAAGTTAAGCAACATCGAGCTTGGTCAGTACCGAGGTGGGTGACTTCTAGGGAATACCAGGTGTAATAAGCTTGAATTTGCGTGTGGTGTAATAGATAATGTTAGTCAGAGAGCCCAATTTCAGTTGGGTTAATATATTCACTTCCACGCAAATACCCTCTCTTCTCTCCCAGCTATAGATTAATTAGTAAGATTGTATAACTAAACGATTAACTAAAATAAAATTGCGTACAAAATATTTACAATTCGGCATTAAATAACCCAGAGGTTTCGATTTACCTATAAAAAAAAAAAAAAAAAAAAAAGAAACAAGATGAATTCTTTGAAATTTTGTTTTTATTCTCATTTATTTTAAATATAAGATATCGCTTCCTTAAGTTAGCAAGTTGAGTGAAAATCTCTCGGTCGAGTAAGGAATAAATGATGAATAGAAAACTCGACATTTTAGCAGTTTCAATGCAGAAATATGACGGTGAGGAGAAAGAAATAGGAAGAATGTTGTTTTGCGACTGTCGCTAATTGGTAGATAGAAGATGGCACGCACTTCGGAGGACACTCGAACCCCGTCTGACGCGAACATGTTCATTTTTATTTCGACGTTATCAACAACAGGTGGGGGCATCGTCTAATAGAAAATAATCCAAACAGTTATAAGATAGAAGAGGAAAAAAAATCAAAGAAAAAGAGAAGAGAGATAAGCATTAACGGAATGACTTAAAAATAAGATAAAATGAGCGAACAACAATAATAAAAGCAAGATGGAGAAGAAGAGAATTAATAATTCAAGAGAGAGAAAGTAAAGATAAAAGGAAGGAGTGTAAAGTGTGTCGTAGGGAACGAATGAAGCCCGTGGATGAGTAGGTGGGGGTGCAATGACATTCATCTAACATCATTCAAGATTATTAATTATTCACTCTTTTCTCAGTTTCTTTCCTTTCCCGTTCCCACTTTTGTTTCACCCTCATCTTACTTTTTGCTTCGAGAAATCGCGCGATGGAGCCAACGATAAACCACACGCAGTTTTCTGTCAAGCACTGGGGACCCGGCTCATAGCACGTTTAGAGAAAACCCGTTTCTTGTGCAGGAGAGAGTGTTGATGCAGAGAGTGAGAGGAGAGACCAGTCAGCGGTCACTGAATATACAATTCAATATTCAACACATCTCGTCCAATAAACATCGTTGCAATGATGGACGATTCGCAGTAAGCGGTGGTAAGGAAATTTATGGAATTGCATAAGTAAATTGAAACAGTATTGATAAAAGAGAAAAGAAAATATATTTATTTATTTATAATAAATGTATGTGTGCACGCGAGCTCATTATGCATACGAATAGCGAAATGTGTAAGGTTTTCATTTCTTTTATATGACAGTGGAACAATAAATCCATAGCATGGGCCAAGATTATAAATTGAATTTTAATATGAAATTTCCAATGTATAATGTTCTATATCATTAATATTCATTAGTGAATCTAGTGCACTGAAAAGAGAATTATGTTTAAAAATCTTTGTTATGTAAAATAAACGCATTTTCTTCATTAAGCTGCGCGCGAACACACACATACATACATATATATATATATGATATAAATATGACAACTGGAAAAAATTCTTAGTTCTTGCCGACGCGTTTCGTCTTCCGACTTTATCAGGGAAAGCAATGAAAGCGAAATATTTTGTAGCCATATTTACATCAAATCAAAATTTCTTTTTTTAAAAAGAGACACTCTTATGTAAATATGGCTACAAAACATTTCGCTTTCATTTTCTGTCTTGATGAAATCGGAAGATGAAACGCGTCGGCAAAAACTAAGTATTTTTTTCCAGTTGTCATATTTATACCAATTTGTCTTATCTTCAAAATTATTCTGGGAAATCTAAATATACATAGATACATATTATACACACAAACCAGCTAATAAAATGTTATTGTTACAATGTTTCTGAAACAGTACGTAAAAAAAGGTAACAAAAATGTTTGTATCCTCTCCTAGAAGATGCCAGAAATGTTACCTTGACAGAAAATGGACAATGAATTCTGGGAAGATATTAGAATGGGGATTAATCTAGATTAGTGATTATCGGTTAAAAAAGAACACGAAAATAAATTTTATATCTTCTGTATATATTGTTAAGTGAAGAAAAAAATATTCTGATGTTATAATTGACCAGTGCAAAATATTTCGGCGACAGCACTTCGCAATGCTACAATGACGTTTTGAGAAAGTTAGAGATGAGCGGTCATTTTGGGGTCAAGAAAATAGTTGATTGCAACTTGACAGTAATGTCGCCGCAATTTCCCATATGCCCTGATCAAAATACAACGTCCTGCGGTGGATACATGCACTTTGGATACAAAATTATTTCAGTCAGGGACGGTTCAAATTTTACTTCCAATCGATTTTAGAGATGACTCAGGTAATCATTGCCCTCTAGAAATTCTCATTCACTTGTCGCGACATGCCAGTGACAAGACATTATCTCAAGAATTTTGTCGATAAAACTGATAACAGAGAAATGGATACACATGCTTCCCTACCCCAGGGCATCAGAAGGAAGTGAATTTCTTAGCCGAAATTCGAACTGTTCGCATTTTTACCCTCGTACGGTTAAGCCATTTCCAGCTCTCCAACATAAATTTAGATTTTATGATATGGAAACAAGCACGCGTGTGCACACATGTTTTTATTTACGGTGACAACGAAATCTGCACCAGTCACGATTGCGCGGGACGTGTAGGGGTTAAAGTCAGTGTCTGTCATAGTCACTTTCTGAAGAAGAACATGGAAATGGAGCAATAAATTCGAACAGTTTTATAGATCAACAGCCACACCGGTGTATCTTCCTGAAATTGATTTTAGAATAATCACCGACTCTTAATTTCTGAGTGACACTGTAAATAAAATGATTTTTATGTCACATCGGCTCCTATAAAATAGCCATTCACTGCAAAAACAACTCATTCGGACAGATTCTTCTTATAAGTGAAGTCAGATGATAACGAGAATGATTCGGTCCCTCATATCAGAGAGACGAGGGGCAGCGACTAAACCAAAGATTAATCTGGGACTGGGGAAAAAAAGAAACTGAAGTATTCAGGATATATTAGGTTGGGTCATAAATAATTTCCGTTTTTATTTACCAATATTTTTCTTAAGAAAAAGAAAAAAAAAAGTACGTTTACATTTTATTCAATTATATATTCACCATTATTTGCAGTGACTTGCTGCCAGTTACTAGGCAGCTATTTCGATAACTTTTTCAGCTAAATTCTGAAGGTTTTTTCTGTAAAAAGGTTTTAAACGAACTTTTGCATATGTTTTCATTAAAGAAAACTTTCACTATGAAAGCGTTTTGCAACGACTAAAAAGAAGTTCCCAATCGGTTGGTCGATGGTCAGGTGTATAGAGCGGGTTAGGTAGAACAGACCAACTGAGTCCAAAGATTTTTCCCCGTGTTTAACTTACTGTATGTAGAGTTGCGTTTTTAAGTAGCGTAATAACATTTTTTTCCTACTGATGAACGCAGGCACATTTCGTACAAACGTTTATGGTTACGTTGCAGCTGTTGGACGTATGTGCATTTAGTATTTTATTGCGTTTTAAGAACTCTAGATGAATAATCCTCGAAAGATCTCAACAGACACAACTTTTTTGAATGGAGCACAGCTTTGGTAGTTGGTTGTAGAGATTATTCCTTATCAATCCACTGTCTTTTGCGTCGAACATGCACATTTCCATGTCCCGCATCTCCTTATTACACACACACACACATGTATATTATATATATATATATATATATATATATGTGTGTATATATATATATATATATATATATATATATATATATATATATATACACACACACACACACACAAAATCATTGATTGTTATCAACTTAAGCTGATAAAAGTGTAAATTACTCCACGCAAACAAATAGGAAATTCATAGTATGTAAATTATGCTGCAATTTCGATTCGGGCAATTTTAGTTGCCCTGCAAAATGCTCACTCGGCTAATAGAGTAACGACTCTGGTAAATCATTTATAAATTTTAAATGGCAGAATGGGACCAGAATGCAGACACGTCGACATTGATGCCGACCGAGAGCCTCACATCGCTGGCGGGTTTAATATTTAAATAAATGCAAGCCCTTCATGTTATTTGAATCCGATCGGGGGAATTTCTTAAAAATATGCAAGTTTTAAATTATGCAACATCTTCCCAAGCGCGGCAGTGAAAATGTGATTTCTCCCTCGGTATTAAATCAAACAAGAAAGAAAGAATGTGAGTTGGCTTGTTGGGTTTATTATCATCTACAGTCACTAGGCAATTCCTTCATTACCATTGTTGTAAGACATAGTTTAAAAATAAGAAGTCATTAAAGGAAACTAGTTTTTCAATATACACCAATGCTTTCCAAAGATATTTACTTTATCTCGTGCAATTATTGATTGATTCTTTTACCCTTTGATGATGAATAATAAAAAACAAAACCATTTTCTTACGGCCTAGTGGATTAAAACATTGGTTTGTGGATTTGGTGGCATGCTAGCGATACCATGGATCGAACTTGTGATCAGCAACGAGAAAATCGAAACAATAACCAAACTTATAAGTAACATTAAGAAAAGAAAGAACAGTTTAAATTTCTAGCGCACATAATGAGGAAAGGCGGCTTGAAAAATCTGATACTCATAGAACACATTGAAAACAACGCATAACCTATTTAGTGAGCTTGATTAAATGGATGTCGGAACAAGGTTTAGGAGAAAGAACAAAAAGATAAAATTTATTAAGTGCTACAAAGGACAGGAAGTTCTGGAGAGTCATGATCATCTACGTTCTGAAGAGTCATGGGCGGGGGCGGGGAGTGGTTGGAAGTTCAATCCCTGGGTTGGGTAGTGTGTACTTGCACTCAATGGAAACGGGCGAGTAATAATTGAGCAGTACTAAATAAGAACTAGACAATATTCCTAGACGTAAGCAGTGGAACAAGGATAATCTACACCCGGAGATTAAATGAAGGGTTTATTTTGGAATTTACTGTCCGGTTCACACACC